CTCTTGATTCTTTTTATGTATTAAGCACAACCATAACGCTCCATAATGCCATATAGCGAAACTATGTTGAAAATTGCTGAAAATTAGCGGAAATTCGTTTAAAGATTTTTTTTCTTTCTATATATGTATTTTGTTTTAAGAATTAGCTGCATTAGAATTTTCCTATGAAAATATCTTGTTTTTATTATTTCCTGATCTAGTTGTTTTTGCTGAAACCCCGATGATTTAAGACATGGTAATAAAAAATAAGGTCTAACAACTTAAATTATTTATGTTATAATAGGTTTTTGGCATGTTTATGATTCAGGAATTCCTTTATGCATTATAAAGACATAACGTGTTGGAGACAAAAACCATAACAATATTCCCATTGTTACGGAATATGTCGAATCATATTAGGGGCGCGTTCTTTCATTTGCACTCCGAGAAAGGTCACAGGCACAGTAATGGACGACAGCACTAGGTATTTATTGACAACATGACACGTATTCGATTATATTATTCCATGCTTCACGTACTCTACAACAGATTCATGCCTCTGAACCATGTCAGGCTGTCATAACATGCGGCAGTTGAAATTGCTTATTTTTCCTTCAACTACAGTGACGCCCACCAACTTGACCGTATTTTCAAGCATTCGCTGCCTGTCCACTAGTATTTCCCAGACTCGTTGATGGCCGACACACTTCTGGATATGTCTGGAGTGATTATTACGAGACCCACATGTCCTTCAGACAAAATATACTATTTTGTCTCAAGTTTACCTTTCATTTCTGGATGTTTTTCGTTTTGTTTTGATTTCCCCCTTGTTCTTATTCTTGTCTTTTCGTATCAACGTTGAGTTCTTTCTTTGGTATTCAAGAGCTTGCTCCGGATGACAAGATTCCTTTGAGCTTAATACTGAGAGATGTCGACTGCCGACCGACAACATAACAAAGCAGAGTTTCTTTTTGTGATGTGAGGGCCGATATTTAAATTTCTAAGCTCATTAGTGTGCCTTAATTGTTGTTTCGTTTTAACTTTCCCGGTTTTCAATTTGAGGAAAAGAAATTACTTGGATTTGATCTAAATTTACATGACGGGTCACGTAAATCAAAAATTAGACGCTCACACTTCCGGAACACTTATTTGTTTCCTCCAGGTACATTTTCAAGGGTATCCAAGTATGTCTTTCATTTGTTCATATCCCCTACTTGTATCGATACTGTGTTCGAATTGCAGTTTTTATTGATATATTGGTGTTCTCTCGCTGTTTGTGTTTTTGTCATTTAGTGATAACAATTTATTTCAGTGTCAAAATTTCCAAACCAAACAGTTTTGCTGACCTAGCTAGCCTCTTTGACAAATCTTAGTCTGAAATGTATATCTATTACATGTTCATTAATAAGGCTTTATGCTGAGATTATAAGGTATATGTCTTCATAAGCCGCTGGCTTGACTGATTACGGAAATAAATCGATGGTTTTTTTTTCATGTCGACTAAACTCCATTAAATAGGAAATTGTGTAAACACGTGGGCACTGACCTGGTAGACAAGTTACTGTACCGTTATAGTACAATGTCGCCATTGATTAACTGTACATAGGAAATTGTGTAAACACGTGGACACTGACCTGGTAGACAAGTTACTGTACCGTTATAATTCAATGTCGCCTGTGATTAACTGTACATAGGTAATTGTGTAAACACGTGGGTACTGACCTAGTAGACAAGTTACTGTACTGTTATAGTACAATGTCGCCAGTGACAAGTTACTGTACCGTTATAGTACAATGTCGCCAGTGATTAACTGTACATAGAAAATTGTGTAAACACGTGGGCACTGACCTGGTATACAAGTTACTGTACTGTTATAGTACAATGTCGCCAGTGATTAACTGTGCATAGGAAATTGTGTAAACACTTGGGCACTGACCTGGTAGACAAGTTACTGTACCGTTAAAGTACAATGTCGCCAGTGATTAACTGTGCATAGGAAATTGTGTAAACACGTGGGCACTGACCTGGTAGACAAGTAACTGTACCAATAAAGTACAATGTCGCCAGTGATACAATTCAATTCAATTCAATTTACAACTTATTGGATTTTCAACAAATAATCTCATATAAGTACAACATATAATTACATATTACTGGCACATTCATCATAAAAAAAAGTAGCAACAACAACATCATCGAAATCATAATTCATCGCTTTCATCATCATCATCATCATCATCATCATCATCATCATCAACGTCGTCGTGGCCGCGTCGTCGTCGTCTTATAGTCTTATAACTCATCATCATGAAATAATCATCTCTTTAAATCAACATCAAATACTACATTATCATCCTCATCACCTTCATCATCATCAGCAGCAGCAGCAGCAGCATCATCATCATCATCATCATCATCATCATCATCATCATCATCATCATCAATAATCATCATCATCATCATCATCATCATCATCATCATCATCATCATCATCATCATCATCATCGTCAAAGTACAACAACATGACATAATTACATGAATTTCATAAAACTGGTACATTTTTACAAATCACCGATATTATTGAAATCATTACCACTTTCATCAGCATCATCATCATCATCATCATCATCATCATCATCATCAACATCATCATCATCATCATCATCATCATCATTATCATCATCATCAAAATATCAACATCATCGAAAACATCTATATCATCATCATCATCATCATCATCATCATCATCATCATCAACAACAAAAAACAACAATATTGAGCATTTACCATATTAAACATGAAAGATTGTTTGAACAAAACATGGACATGATACGATTGAGTAATACAAAATTACGTAAAACAAACTTATAAGTTAAAGAATCCTTCGTTTGTTAGCTTCAATAATAAATTTACCTAACAAATTCAGTTCTTATACATTGTGTGTATTTACTAATTCGATAAGTTTGAATACAGATGGTTTTTGCCAGTAATAATTTTTAATATTTTTTCTCCTTAGATCTAGATGACGTGGGCAAGTAAATAGAAAATGAAATTCATCTTCTATCTCTATTAGGTCACAGTTACTGCAATATCTATTATTCCTTGCAACATTCCTGTATCTTCCCGTTTCTATTGCAAGTTTGTGAGCTGACATACGTAATTTGGTAATCATAATTCGACGTTGTTTTGGTATAAACTTTGTTAAATAATATTGCAACATCACGGTATCTACCATGTATCTATAGAGATCACATTTACTTGAGATGACCAACGAGTTGAATAAAGTTTGTTTTGCCTGATCATCTATGCGCTGTTTAATAATAGGTAGTAGACAGATGTCGGTAGCTGCCTGCCTAACCATATATATCCAAACCCTAGTTCAAATAATTTATGCTTTATGAATAATAACCAATTTCGTTTCGGGTTTTCCCTCCAAGTTTCTTTCAATAAAAACTGATATGCTTCTTTTAGAATACAATTTTCACAATTTAACAACTTAAACCAATATTTAAATATTCGAAGCATCTGATTGTTTGCCAGAGGAAGTCGTCCAAGCTCAAAGATACAGGGGGCGGCAGTTTCTACAGTACAACGTTTGAGAATGATCATGGAGGCTGTTGAGGTGCGTTCCTCTCGACTCTACACTGACATATCCGTCCTTCTGGTAAAACCAACAGCCATTACTGACAGGTACTAACGAGAATGACGAGGGTGTAATACCACAGTGGAACCATAATTTCACGGATAAGACAACAACTCGAAAAGTGTCTATATAGTGAGATATCGTCACTTTAAAATGTTACACCATCAGAAAATCTCTGCTGTATAATAATGTCTTTTCATTTGGAGACTTTTAATAATTACGATTGTTTTGTGTTATTAAAAAAGAAGAGATATGAGCTGGGTTGCTTATAACTTCATTTTATCATCAAGCAAAACAGCGATGCCTATAATTCCGTGCAGTGTTTCGGTAGAAAAAAATAGTTGACGCTGTGTCATATACAACTGTAGCAGTTAAATAAAAAAACACGTGTTTGAATTTGTTCAATACCGATTTTTTAAGTTGTTTTCCCTGAAATACCAGAAACATAATCTAGTTTTGGTTAAAATTTTGAATTTTTGAACCTGGATATGGCAAATGTGATCAACGATCTTGAGTATGCAAAAACGTATAACAATGAAACATCTGCTGCAAGGCCCACACACAATGAATGATGACTCTTTAAAGTTCATATCACATCATATTCACCACCACAAAAGTCCATAATTGTATTTTTTCATGCTTTTACAATTAATTCAGTAAAAAAAGGCTTTTTGATTAAATGGATTGGATGCGAGGTTTTCTGTCATGGTGACCAATAAAATATGTTTTAATGTTAAATGATAAGCAGCATCCAGTTAGCATTTCAAATATTTATTTATAGAACAAAAAACGTTTTTCCATAGAGACTATCCTTAAAATCGATATTCCCCGGTTTACCTGAATATTTGTTTAGAACTAGTCACGTCTATAGGAGTAAGCCAATGGCATCTCGAGAATTTATTACTACGGTGCTAACCGCTGGATTACAATGTCTTTCTCTTCTGCGTTTCTGTTTTTGATGTTCAGAATAGCAACACTTACAAAAATGGCATCGATTCTTGGACACTGTCCGCATCAATCAACACCACGGGAAGACGTGAGCTTTAGACGACACGTGTAAGTTCAATCTCCACGCAGAGTTACGTTCCTTGCTCTCCCTTTGTGTGTGATTGAAAAGGAACGACAACTCTGGGTAGAGATTGGTGCAAGTTGTGCTTGTCACTGTTGTTCAATTCATGCTTTTGCCTGAGAAAAAAACTCCAATTATGTCCAAGCAAGAAATGTCAGTCTAATCTATACAAGGACAAACAATACTGTCCACACATTGACCGACCCTATTGTTAACACATAAGGACCCACAATAGTGTCCTCTCAGAAGGACCACCAATATTGTCCTCACATAAGGACCACCAATATTGTCCTCTCAGAAAGACCACCAATGTTGTCCTCTCAGAAGGACCACCAATATTGTCCTCTCAGAAGGACCACCAATATTGTCCTCACACAAGGACCACCAATATTGTTCTCACACAAGGACCACAAATATTGTCCTCACACAAGGACCACCAATATTGTCCTCTCAGAAGGACCACCAATATTGTTCTCACACAAGGACCACCAATATTGTCCTCACACAAGGACTACCAATATTGTCCTCTCAGAAGGACCACCGATGTTGTCCTCTCAGAAGGACCACCAATATTGTCCTCTCAGAAGGACCACCAATGTTGTCCTCACACAAGGACCACAGATATTGTCCTCACACAAGGACCACCAATATTGTCCTCACACAAGGACCACCAATATTGTTCTCACACAAGGACCACCAATATTATCCTCACACAAGGACCACAAATATTGTTCTCACACAAGGACCACCAATATTGTCCTCTCAGAAGGACCACCAATATTGTCCTCGCAGAAGGACCACCAATATTGTCCTCTCAGAAAGACCACAAATGTTGTCCGGGGAGAAGGACCACCAATATTGTTCTCACACACGGACCACCAATATTATCCTCTCACAAGGACCACAAATATTGTCCTCTCAGAAGGACCACCGATGTTGTCCTCTCAGAAGGACCACCAATATTGTCCTCTCAGAAAGACCACCAATGTTGTCCTCACACAAGGACCACCAATATTGTCCTCTCAGAAGGACCACCAATATTGTCCTCACACAAGGACCACCAATGTTGTCCTCTCAGAAGGACCACCAATGTTGTCCTCTCAGAAGGACCACCAATATTGTCCTCACACAAGGACCACCAATGTTGTCCTCACAGAAGGACCACCAATATTGTCCTCACACAAGGACCACCAATAGTGTCCTCTCAGAAGGACCACCAATATTGTCCTCACACAAGTACCACCAATATTGTCTTCTCAGAAGGACCACCAATTTTGTCCTCACACAAGGACCACCAATATTGTCCTCTCAGAAGGACCACCAATATTGTCCTCTCAGAAGGACCACTAATATTGTCCACACACAAGGACCACCGATATTGTCCACACCACCAATATTGCCTACAAAAAACAACCAGTGTTATTATTTGAAGTGCCATCGATTTTGTCCAAACAAGAACCATCAATTTTGTCCACAAAAGGACCCTCAATATTGTTCATACAAGAACCAACAATATTGTTCACACCAGGACCACCAAGAATGTCCACACATGGACCACCAGTATTATCCAAACAAGGACCACCAATATTGTCCACACAAGGACCACCAATATTGACCACACAAGAACCACCAAAATTGACCACACAAGGACCACCAATATTATCCACACAAAAGCCGCCACTGTTGTCAACCCAAGCACCACCAAAATTATGAAATAAATAATTAAGATACAAATTGATATTCACAATATCGATAATTATTTTTTGATGGAAATCGTCCACTGAATCAAGCTATGTCATATGATATCTATACACGAGAGCAAATCAGAAACGTCAATTGAAATACCCTTGAATAGAAGGAAGTTATCAGAAATGAAAAAGATAAAGATAATGAAATTCAAGAAGTGATGTCAACATCCGGCTCAGTGATATTTAATTCCGTGTCTCGTCCCGTTAGTTAACAGTCGGGTGCAGTAATGCAACAAACAGTTAACAGCAGGACCAAATGTTGACCCATGCCCTCCTAAAGTAAGCATCTGGGCGCATGGCACACGCCTAAGTTAACAACTGGGTGCATGGCACACGCCTAAGTTAACAACTGGGCGCATGACACACGCCTAAGTTAACAACTGGGCGCATGACACACGCCTAAGTTAACAACAAGGCGCATGGCACACGCCTAAGTTAACAACTGGGCGCATGGCACACGCCTAAGTTAACAACTGGGCGCATGACACACGCCTAAGTTAACAACTGGGCGCATGACACACGCCTTAGTTAACAACAAGGCGCATGGCACACGCCTAAGTTAACAGCTGGGCGCATGTCACACACCTAAGTTAACAGTCGGGTACGGTTAGATTTTTTTCAATTCAAATCCCTAATCTAACAGGAATGTTAGAGTACAATCGAATCCAGGTCGATACACACACACACATAATGACCTGTCGCCCTACATACCAAAGTGACAAATATGCTCAATTTGAAACGACTTTATCGTGACGGATGTGAAGCGTATATTGTATAACGAGAGGATCAAAACTAAACCTATTTTCACGACGTAGGAGTTTCCTCAAAGATTACCACCGAAGTAATCTATCAGTAGCTTAAAAACAAACTGTATTTTAATTTCCGACCTCCAACCAGAACGGTGTCCCATATTTCCTCTCAGTCCCATGTTCCCCGCGTAGCTCATATATCCTGTGTACTTTTATTTGACATCTTGTGCTCGGTATAAGTCCGATAATGATCCACGTGATCTGGACTTAAGTCTCAAAAGAGCTATACAATATACGTCATACCAGGAGAGCATGTCAAAGAGCCCGAAAAACATTTTCTCACATTTGCGTTAAGCCTAAGTAATAGAAATATTCTCTTAGAAAGTTTGCGGGTTTCACGGAGTATAATAAATTAGAATTCAGATAACTTGTTTATTGAAATTTAATGCGCAGCACATGTGCGTCATTGTCAACTTCGGTCATATATATATATGTGTGTATAGTCAAGCTGATGACATAAGAATTAGATACGTTTTCATATTAAATTCGTCATAAGATCGAACCTTCACAAGATTTCAACATTATTGATTTCAATTTCAATATTTCTGTCGAAAAATTATTAAGTTGCTACTGCAAGACAGTTGAATAGTTTCTTTTATGAACGTACTACGTTATTTTTTTATCATGTAATAGCCGGATCCTGATATTATTACATTTCGTGCTTACAAAATTAGCATTGCTTGAACAGAAAGAAATCCTACATAAGATTTTATCAAATTTTTCGGAAGATTTAATAACTTCTGTATAACAATCTTTGCAATCTTACCCCTAGTATCACTTGCTCTGCTAAGTGCTAACCCAATCCAACAATAATGCCTTCTCCCTGTACTATTAGTTCAGGGCTACAATCGTATTTTGATACTTTACTCAAGAAGTGGATTATTGGACTACGGATTTTGAAACACACAAAAGATCTTTTTGTCATTCTTGAATGGACTTTTATATAAATGTAAATTAATTTTGAGCATATTTTTTTGCGTAAAAATGACGAAGGCGAAATATAGTCTATTCAGATCGTGGTTGGCAATATCATTGTTTAGTTCGGTGGCAAGGTGTTCTCTCCGTTGTAACAAATAGGTCGACTTAGTTTTGTTTTCATACAAGGCTAAATTTATTGAAAAGCTTTTCATGACTGCCAAAACAACTTTGTCAATGTCTCAAGTTCACGCTCTTTGGGTAGCAAGAGGCGTGTTGACCATGTCGATCGCGTGTGCCTATTGCGCTTGGTGACAGGGACAGTGCCTGGTCCTCTGCGTCGGCCACTTTTCTTGGTCTTTACACTATGACCAAAAGGAACGGCTTACTATAAAGCTGTTCGATAAGCGTGACGATTTCCATTTTCCGATCGTAAACTTTCCCTTTCTTCATAGTTACATCGTTGATCCCAAACTACGGTATTAACATGGGGGTTCGGTAATCAAGAGCTCATTCAGAGTGGCACGATTTCCGTGATGCCAGCTGACTTAAAACGAAACATTTCGGGGCTATAACCAGGTATAAAGGTCCTGTCTTGATCTCATTGGAAATCCTTTTTCTTGTGCGATAAGCGTATCGATGGTTTTGATTGTGCCAAACAGTTAATCTTGGGTTTCATTGCCACTTTTGAAACGAAAAATTGCTGGGATTTGAACCAGATTTCCAAGGCGGATGTAACCGGTGGGGCTGAGGACGCTAGTTCTTCCGAAACGCATGGTCTTCTAGGCTTTGTACTTATGAATGATCTTCATGTGTCAATGTAATCAAATGGGTGACTCATTAACGCAGTGTGAGAGTAACTGTTGTCTAAATCTAAGGAAGAATTATTAGCTCACCTGGTCCGAAGGACCAAGGTGAGCTTATGCCATACCGTGGCGTCCGTCGTCCGTCCGTCCGTCCGTCAACAATNTCCCAGGGTCTGCCCCACCCTTGCAGACTTGGCCCCTGGGTCATAACTTTGAAACGGTTGAGATCCCCACCCCAAAACTATATATACAAATGCTTGGCAAAAAGAGACAAATGCAGTCACGATATTAGAATCGATCCTGGGGTCTGGCCACAACTCTAGGGACCTAGTTTCTGAGTCAAAGCTTGGAAACAGTTGAGATCCCCACCCCATAACCATACATAAAATTGCTGGGCATGAAAAATCTAATATAGCTATGCTACAAGGATTGGCCTTAGGGTCTGACATATTCCCTTGATCTCATTTGGAGAATAGTTTGCCATGATTGCTTAGGTATCCAGGTGAGCGATACAGGCCCTCTGGGCCTCTTGTACGTTCATACATTATCTGTAATCTGATGTCTATAAAAAAATGAAAGGTTCAATTTTAAAGGCAGTTACTAAAAACACTGAATAAGATAGCAACTGTTTAAAATTCTAGTGTGGCAATGCAGAAAATCAAACAAAGTTAACATTCTTCTTCATTATATTGTTTTAGCCCAAAATAAATGTCTCCGCTCCATTAAAAAAAGTGAAAGGGATTTTTGTTTGTTACAGATAATTTATTCGTTAACTTTTCATTAAAACTCTGTGGAAGAGCTGTGAAAAGTTGTTAAGGGACTGTACCATTTTTAATTGATTTCCTTATTTTGTTTTTTTAACGACAAACATGCTCAGATTGACGAAAGTCACATTAGATGACCTTGAAGGAATGGAATTTCCAATAGTCTTCTTTTAAACACAAAGATTTATGGATTTTAACCTAACCTTGAATAGTAATCAAGCAAAACATCCGCCAGCTAAGTTCAAGATAAATATTGATCCACATCATTAATCCTGCCATTGATTGGGACCAGTAGGTTTTAGGAGATAAATAAATAAGACTAGAGATGTTGTGATGAAACTTTGTTGCTGACGAGGACACATTCAACGTCAGGAAACACATTGATCAAAACAATCTAATCATAGTAATTAAGAACCGGCTGTTTTCAGCCTTATCCGGAGAATTTGTTTTTGTCGAACATAAAATATCACACACATGTATACAGAGCTTACAACTGGCTTTAATAGAGGTCGTTTATAAACTGTAAGTTTATTTTTGTACACAAACAGTACCAAAACTATTTTAAATTCGAAGAACAAATTAAAAGTTATTTTTTTCTAAAACTAGTTTAAACAGTTTAAAAATAAATAAATAAATATATCGCCAGCCATTTATATGATCTTCCTTGGGTGTATGCAGGTATGTTTTTTTCTCTTTTCTCTTTTGGATTGATTCATGTCAACAGTGTTTGACATCGTCTCTTTAAATGAGGTGGTTGTTGTTTGACCTTCTTTCCAGCATAAGATCGTATTTAATGCGTTAGAAAAAAGACATTTTGGCAATTACATTAATCTTCTGATCAAATGTTCGAAATTCGAAAGGAGATTTATTCAAAACTATGGGAAAAAAAGAACCACCTTACTACGAAATTTGAGAAAACCCTGAAATATAACTACCCATCACAAAATTCATCAGCCTTATTCAAGATGTTTGTCTTGAGGCCCTCTTGTTTTCTCGCTTATAGTCTCAAGATGGAACATGCTAACCGAAAGATCAAGCGGAACATACTGATGGAATTTGAAAAAAAAATTCTTCCGTCCTGTACTTCTGGAGAAAGAGCGAGAACACGAATTGTTTAAGGACGGACCATGGACGAAGGGCGATTTGAAAACGTCA